CCTTTGTTCATATTATCGCTCCTCACTCACTTCGATTGTACTCCAGGAGCTTGGCCCATTGGTTAGTTGTGGATTTCTGCATCTGCTTCCATCTGTTTCTGGAAGAGGATTCAAGCTTCTCAGGGGGTTGTGGATTGTAGTCTGGGTATCTTTTGCTTTATGTCTGGTATCCACTTATGAGTGAGTACATACTATATTTGTCTTTCTGGGTCTGGGTTACCTCACTCAGGATGTTTTTTTCCTTGCTCTGTCCTTTTGCCTGCAAATTTTAGGATATCATTGTTTCTTACCGCAGAACAGTACTCCATTGTGAAAACATACCACATTTTCTTTATCCATTCTTCAGTTGAGGGGCATCTGGGTTGCTTCCAGGTTCTGGCTATTACAAATAATGTTGCTATGAACACAGTTGAGCAAATGCCCTTGTGGTGTGAATGTGCTGCTCAGGACCTGAGGTTCAGGCCTCCCTCTGAAGCTGCTCTGGACCTGAAATTACATCTATTTTTTGTTATTGTTTTTCTTTCTGCTTAAGATTTCCAATAACCCCATACCTGTCCATTTCACCCTTTCAAGTCCTTCCAGACTTGGATCCTGTATCTCATTCTTCACAAAGAACTCTTCCTAAATTCCAAACACTCTGAGTTCCCATAGAATTTGAATAGCACCTCTCGTATGGAGCTGGTTAAAATCTTCTATTGGGCTAAATGTATTAAATAATAGGGTTTGAATGTAGAAGGGATTTAGAATTTATCTAAGACAACTCTGTACCTAATGTCTAAAGACTAAATATCAGTCAAGCTTAGAACCAGATTTTCCCAAATTCCTTTCCAGGAATTTGCAATTATTTTATCTTTTCTTGTAGAGTATAGGGACAGAGGTTGAATTTTACCAAGCTCTGCTTCTTTCACAGTATCCAATGTGATCCCTTTCATATACTATATCCAAGAAATTTGTGGTGTTTTGAATAAGAATGGCCCCCATAAACTCATTGATCTAAATGCTTAGTCATTAGGGTGTGGTGCTACTTGACAGGGGTTAGGAGTTGTGACCTTGTTGAAGGAGGTGTGGCTTTGTTGAAGGAAGTGTTTCCCTGCAGGTGCCCTTTGAGATTTCAGATGCTCAAGCAAAATGTCTCTCCTGACTGCCTTCAGATCTGATGTAGAACTCTCAGTTACTCTTCCAGCGCCATGTCTGCCTGTGCCATCATGCTCCTCCTTCCACCCTCCCCCCCATAGAAGCCCCCAATGAAATGCTTCCCTTTATAAGAGTTGTTGTGATAATGGTGTCTCATCACAGCCACAGAAACCCTATTAAGACGGAACTATACTGGTTAAAAAGGAGTATTTTATGTGCTAGCTAACTGATATTTTCAACCAGTGGTATCCTAAATTCCCTGAAAAGCAGCATGAAGCAGAGATTTCTACATCAGGAGAAAGCACCGAGGCAAGAATAGGAAGCAACAGTATCACCTGTGATGGGGCAAGTCCTTCTGTGTATATATTTGTCTTATTGGTTAGTAAATAAAGCACTTTTGGCCAATAGGGAAGCAAGGTAGGTGGGACTAGGAATCAAGGAGGAGTCTGGGAAATGTAGTCAAAAGAGGAGGAGTTGCCATGTGATCCTGTGAAGAGAGGACACATGAGGCTGGTGTCCTTGGTAAGACAAGACCTTATAGAAAAAAACATATATATATATTTTTTAGTATTATGGGTTAATACTTAAGACAGAACTAGCCAATGAGAAGCCCTGGACATTGGCTGGCAGCACTGTAACTAATAGAGTCTCTGTGCGTTATTTGGGGTTGATGCGACTCTGGGACCAGGTTGGCGGGAAGAATGCTCATTATACACCTCTGCTTCCCAGGAACCATTGGAGACTCTGCAGATAATGTGGAGACAATCTCTGCACAGACCAACTATCTATTGATGGGGTACATGGGAAAGCCATTTCCTGGGTAGCCCCTGCACAAAGGAATTTACTGTCCTTTTTTCTTATCACTGTTTCCAACTGATTATGGCTACACCTCTAGTCACCTGGGTCTGTCCTTTGGCTCTTCAATGGCTACTTGGAAAGACAGCAGAAGAGGCTGCAGGTAGAATGTGTCTTCTTAAACATCCTTGAATTTAAGCTTATTTCTTACACTTTTTACCCAAGATTGTTCCTTTTTGAGTGTGGCGGTGTTGATTTTGGCAACATCAATCCAGTGACATCTGTTTTAAAGAAACAGGCCTGATGAGGGCTGGAGATGGCTCAGCAGCTAAAAGAGCTTGTGGCTCTTGCAGAGGACTGGGTTCATTTCCCAGTACCCATATGGCAGCTCACAACTGTCTATAACTCTAGTCCCAGGGGATCCAGTGCTCTCTTCCCACCTCTGCAAGCACCAGGCACAGGCATGGTGTGCAGACATACATGCAGGCAAAAACACTCATACGCATAAAATAAAAGTAAGTAAATCTTTTCAAAGCACAGACCTACACGGAGGATCCGTTTTAAATGTGCTATGAAAATAAATAGTGAAATTCATGAATGAAATCAAAATACAATTTGAACAAGTCCTAACTTTTTGTCTCTTGATTAATTTGTAATTCCATATATGGTTTTCAAAGGTAACCAATTTCTAGTGCTTCATAATCATATTATGTCATGATTCTACACACAAAACAATAAACTGCTCTCATTGCTCAATACAATGCAAATAAAGCCATTCTTTCCTCTCTGTAATATTTTTATAATATTAATAAGCATGTTTTTGGCAAATTCAGAATGCATATAGCACAGACCACTTATTATAACCCCTGCATCTCTCTCCCACCTCCTAACCCTGCCTTTTAGCCTTTGACTCTGTGCTCTCATAAGTAACTCACTCTTAGTGAAAATTATTCACCAGCAGACACTTAAGCAAGAGAGACAGTTTCCCCTTTCCAAGTAAGTAGTTTCACTACTCACAAAACAGATTTGAGAGCCCTCTTACACTTTGAGACACTCTGAATATTTTTCTTTAGCAAAAATCCTAGAACAGATGTTGAATAACCAGGTCTGGGTCCATTTAGAAAGAGGAAAAGAAGAAACGAACATTGTAGATGGAGAAGAAAGTTTGAAGGTAATTAATAGTGATAGATCAAAAGATTATGCTTTATGCCATTGTTAACACTGCGACTCTTCCCAGATTTTTATTGCCAGACTCTGGAGAGGAGAGGGGAAAGGAAAAGTGGAGGAACTAAGCATAAAATGAGGCATTGAAACCCTGAGTTAGAGCAGAGCAAGAGCAATTAAAGGATAATCTGATTGCTAGGGACACTGTAGAGTTAGCCAATGACTACAGATGATGAATACAAGGCTCAGAGAGATTCTTCTGACAGACTGCAAACTGACAGGTGTTCCATAGACCAGATAGCAGATGACACATGGTAGGGAATTTATACTAAATGAACTGATGCCAATTAGACTACATGGGCTATACCCCGTAGCCCTACAGTGATCCTGTAAGGGTACAGCTATGTGGAATCCTGGGAAATTAATGTGGGACTATGACAAGGGAGCACTATAGCCTAAGAACACAGATTTAGGTTAGGCCAGATTTCACGTTCCAGTGTAGATGTAGTTTCACGAAGTGTGTGTTGGTCTGTTTTGGTTTGGGTTGGGTTTTTTTGTTGGTTGTGTTTTATAAGCAGAGAAAGTCATAAACCAGGCCACTTTTCAAATGCATTTGTGGAAATATTAAGTAGGTGGTTACCACAAAGGGGAGAAAGCCCAGTTGTGGGCCTCAGATGTTGGCTGATGACTCTTAGCATTTTAGTTGGCAGAACCTATGGTTTTGTTAACATATTCCAAAAGGTTTTTTATCTCAGTCACGGGATGCTAGGTCCGCACAGAAGTAGATCAGGATTGGCTATTTAGTGGGTGTGATAGTTTGAATGAGAATGTCCCTCACAGGCTCACGTATTTTTATACTTGGGGAGGAGTAGAAGGTTGGCCTTCCTGGAGGAAGTACGTCGCTGGGGACAGGCTTCAAGGTTTCACCCACCTTAGAAAAGTTTTCAACCTGAAGGTGCCGCTTCGTTCTGGGAGCTTGAGTTCACAAGAACGATGGGTGTTTGCCCATCAAAGGGTTTTACCATATCCACCTCACAAGGCCGGATATTTTGGACCATTCTTGGACTGAGCAGTCTATATATAAATCTGTTTCCTGTTTCCCTTTCCCTATATAGAATGTTTTGCAAAGAAAGGAGCATGATTTTCTGAAATTTCTATACGCTTTATGCAAATCTTAAAACTATTCCAAAAGTCAGTTTCTTGTTGACTCTATTTGATTTGATCCAACTTCTCTATTTTCTGTTTTTTTTTTATTCTTTTGCTCTATTGCATAGCTTTTTTCAAACTTTCTTTTTATTTATTCTTGTGGCTTCCACATCACACGTCTCCTTCCCATCCATGTCCCCGTCCCTTTGTACGTACCCTCTGCCCTTGCAACCTCCCCCAAAAATAAAATAACAAAATAAAATTTAAGAGAAAAAAAGGGAAAAAATCAGTCTCACCATGGAAATTTAGTGTGACACAGCGAGTTGTGCAATAAACCCTTTTATCCATTCTATCTTCTGTTTTAAAAAGCTATGTGTTGTACCCTTACAAACCCTATATTCTGTACAAACAGTTGCAGTGTTCTGTCAGAAGGATAAAGCTACATGAAGGCATCAGCAGGAATTGAACCAACAACTCTTGCTCCTTTCTGTGAAAGTTCAATTAAATCCCAGGGCCCCAACACAAACCCTTATCTAAGTATTCTGATGTTTGCTTCATTTGCTTCGCCAATATATTACCACTTTCCTCTCATATCCGAATCACTTTTAAATGAATTACGGGGCTACACGATGACAGAGAGACCCAGGATTCTTCCTCGCTGTTCATTTTCTACCTCACTATGCCTCCTTACAGTGGTCATGACTTGTCCTTTTGCCAAACAGTCCGAAGAGCTTTGCTCGTCCATGTTGTTTTCAACTCACCAGCAGAGGGAGCGCCAGAAGACTCCCTGCGTCTTCCTAGGGCCTGGGTGCGCTGGAGCCTCTGGGCATCCAGGTGTGTTCTTGCAGGAAGAAGTGCTGTTGACGTGGAATAAGATCAACGATTAGATACTGGTTTACTGCTTTATTTGGTGATTTACTTAAAGCACTGCTCGGGCCGCCTATTCGCCAAGCATGACTTCCCTTGCTACCTGGGACGGAATGACCTGGAGAAACAGCTACACTAACGGCCGTTGCCCTTTACAATCCACGGTCAGCTCCTGTAAAATATTGCTTGCTTGCCTGCCTCACTTTATGGTTTTGTAAAATGAGAATAGAGACTGGTCTCAGCACCAGAAGCTTTCAGGCGCTGTCCTGGCATCGGTCCACTGGCGAGATCCCTTCCTTCCACTGTCACTGGTGTCAGGGAGGAGAAAGTGGGACCTCTGTGTGTGTCACCGTGAGGAATCTATTCTCCTGCCTAAGATCTTTAGCGGAGGGGGAAGTCTCTTTTACACAAGTTTCTCTTTATAGCTCAGTGACTGTTGTTTTTTGAAGCCCTAAATAAAGTGATTCTGTGGCTCCCTGGAGGATTAGTGAAATGGAGCGGAAAAAGAAAATAAGCTCTGACCTAAACTGTTTTTTTTTTTTTTTAGCATATTAAGACAACACTGGTTTGTAGAATCTCAAATTATTAAACTATCGACTCTGCTTCTTCCACCATAAAGAACATGTAATAATGATTGTAATACTGTTCCCTACTATCACTGTCATGGACACTCACCAATCTGTGTGTGTGTGTGTGTGTGTGTGTGTGTGTGTGTGGTGTGTGTGTGGTGGTGGTGGTGTATGTGTGTGTATGTGGTGTGGTGTGTGTGTGTAGTGTGGTGTGTGTATGTGTGTGTGTGTGGTGTGGTGTGTGTGTGTGGTGTATATGTGTGTGTGTGTGGTATGTGTGTATGGTGTGGTGTGTGTGTATAGTGTGTGTGCAGTGTGATGTGTGTATGTGTGTGTGTGTATGGTGTGGTGTGTGTATGTGGTATGTGTGTATGTAGTGTGATGTGTGTATGTGTGTGTGTGGTGTGTGTGGTGTGTGTGGGGGGTGTCTGTGTGTGTGTGTGTGTGTGTGTGTGTGTGTTTAGTCCTCACACTGGCCCTTAGAGACAGGTCTCATTGTTCCCATCTATAGAGAAAGAAATAAATGCATAGTGAAGAATTCATAATCTAGGTCACAAGCTAGAAAGGCCTTTCTGACTCCTAAGCCCAATGTCCTCACCAGTGTTAAGAAAAATGACAACACCCAATGTTGGTGGCACACACCTTTAGTCCCAGCACTCAGGAGGCAGAGGCAGGCAGATCTTTGTGAGTTCAAGGCCAGCCTGGTCTACAGAGGTAGTTTCAGGATAGGCTCCAAAGCTACACAGAGAAACCCTGCCTTGGGGAAAAAAAACTGACAGCATCTCATAGGTATTTTGTACTGCACAGATCACTTTAACCACTACGGTCCCCACTTCTAAATGAGTCTGAAGGTAAACACAAATAGTAACATCCAACCCCCTCAACACCTCTTTACCCCTTTAGCTGCTAATTTTAAAAATTAGGTTGGAACTGAAACCATGGCTCAGTGGCTAAGGGCATTCGCTGCTCTTGCTGAGGACCTGGGTGCAGTTTCTAGATCCCACATGGTGGTAACTCCAGTTGCAGGGGATCTGATGCCTCCTCATCTCTGTGGGTACCAGGCATAAGCAGAGCACACAGACACACATGTGAACAAATCCTCATACACATAATTTTATGAAAAATTAAGGAACTAAAGCTCACAAAATCAAGCACAGTTTCCTATCTTTACATAAATAGTAGAGCTGGGAGTGAGTAGGTGTCATGAGATTGGAGCGACACTCTGCCACCTACAACTAAGGGGACTCAGTTTTGCCCCCAACATCTTAATCCTAACATAACCATTTAAACCTTCAGTTCTGTTAATAGAAACGAAAATGCTATTATGTTATTCACAAATATCAAATGAAATAATGTATGAAATGTTTATCACATAAGTAAACAGTATACAAAGCCTTGTGTTCCCGTTATTAAGATGATCTTGGGTTCGAGTCAGGAACTAAGTTGCGTGTATCTTCTGGCAAAATGGCAAAACAGAGCGAAGCCATCTTTTACTTGCTTCTTCAGGTTCATGTTCAGGGTTACTCACCTTCTGCTCTCTGAATCCCCAGTTAACAACCTTTCCTGCTCGCTCTGTCCTGCCTCCCAGAGAGCAATGTTGCTTGAAAAAGTATTAGAGATATTTAAAGGGCATGTTTATTCTACTTAATTTTTGATGCATCTGCTTGTCTGGATATGCTATGAAGCACTATGATTGTATGTGGGAAGCCATTCATCCTCATTCTGCCCTCCAGGAGCCTTAAAAGCAGTCTCCTTGTACTTTGGAATGACATTCAAAAACCAGGTAAGTTGTCATCACTGAGAATCCCCAACTTCTATTGTAGCTGCATCAATCCATCTACTGCAAGTCAAAAAGATGACAGTGGAAAATGCCCTCCATGTGTTTCCTACCAAACATCACAGCCCCATGACACTGAGCTGTGGTTACTGGGTGTTGCCTCATCATGGCTAGTTGAGAGCTATTGTCTTGCTACTCAGAATTATGAAAAAGAAAAATCAGAGTGTGCAGTAGCCTGGAAAAAAGATAAAAAGCACAGTTTCTGCTGAATAGATGCTGCTTCCTTATTGTCGTAAATATAAAAATTTATAGGTCCAAACTCAGTCTGTCAAAGCCAACCTGTACATCATTAGGAACTTTCCTTATGCCCATGTGTTATACTTAAAACTAAGGAATTAGGCCGGGCAGTGGTGGCACATGCCTTTAATCCCAGCACTTGGGAGGCAGCGGCAGGTGGATCTCTGTGAGTTCACAGAGAAATCCTGTCTGGAAATCAAACAAACTAAACTAAGGAACTATGAAACAACTTAAAGTGAAGAGATGAAACCTTTGCACTGACCTCGGCACAAAGGCATGAGACAGCAGTGCTCTTCTCTGCAGTTTGCAACAAGGAGCAGGCTTCTTTCAGTCTCCTGTGTGCCATGGGCATTGTGACATGGAGATGTAAAAGGCACCGAACAAAAAGCTCCGTGGGAGCAGATGCTCTGGGCTTCGTTTGTTCAGTTCGGTGTTGTTTGAGTGCTAACATTGTTCTCGGTACCAAGAGTGGAACAAGAAAAATAGGTTGTTTACCCTGTTCCTTAACTATGCCCTCCAGACAGCTGATATCGATGAAATAATTACAAATTGGTGGGTGTTGTAGAGGTGAAAAATGACATTCTAGACAGCCAAAATTGATGCAATGATTACAAGTTTGGTAGGTGTTATAAAGGTGAAAAAAATAAGCTTCCAGTGATCCTAAGTTAATATTTTTAAAGATCAGGTGAAAGGTGCTGTGTGAACTCGGAATGATTTACAACATCAAAGACTATTGAATTTTTTTAAATAACAACCCTTACAGAAAGAAACTAGAATGGCTAATGTCAGCTCCATCTTTCCAGTGCTGACAGAAAAAAGAAATGAGGACTCATGAGATGGCTCAGGAGGTAAAGGGGCTGCCGGGCCTGATGACCTAAGTTCAGTTCTCAGGGTCCACACGGAGAGACTCAATTCCCAAAGGTTGTCTTCAGGCCTCCATGTGCGCACTGTTGACACATACCGCCCACCACAACGAGTGCAATGGAATATGTTTTAAAGTAAGAAAGCCCAAATTGCTTTTGAAAAAATGTCAGAAATCAGAGATTCACTGTTGCGATCTCAGAGACAACTAAACAACCAAAAATAAATAAAGAAATAAACAAACCCCTAAAGTGAATGCAATAGCATAAGAATTGAGTCAAAGGGTGTGTTCTACAAGAATAATGACTTCTACTGACTTTTCCTCTTCTTGGCTATAATAATTTTTGCGTCTTTTGTAATCATACCCTGCTGGAAAACCTCATGGCCTGGACAGATTTATGCCTACTACAGATTTTGGTTTCCAACAGTACATGTCCATGACTAAGTAAATAGGCAGTCTCAGGCTGACTGGCTTCATCAAGAACTCTTGTACATTGGCTGCATATCGCATAACCAACTGGGATATCACATGATTTGGGGAAGGAAGAGGTATAGAATAATTCTCATGGACTCACAGGATCTTGGAAGAGGAACTCACTAACTTTAACCTCCTCCTCAATAGAAGAATCTCTGGACCCCACTGAAAACCATTCTTCCTCTGAATGATTGTAATGAAGAGAGGGGGAGCCACGCATGCATGGTACATATGTGAAAGTCAACAAGAAACCTCCAGTAGTGTCCTTGTCTTTCTCCTTTACTGAGACAAGCTTTCTTTGTTCTTCACTGCTCTGAACGGCAGGATAGCTGGATTTCTGGTTCTGTCTCTGCTTCCCATTTCCTATGAGTGCAGAGTTTACAGATGCTTGTGACTGTGCCCAGCTTTTAGTGGATCCTGGTGATTTGAACTCAGGTCCTCATCCTCCACAATGATAATCACTTTACCCACTGGGCCATCTCCCCAGATCCTGGTATGCTTTCTTACAATACAGAAAATGTATAACTATTGGTCTTGAATCTATGAAAGTCCCACAGACAAAATCAGAGGGAATCTCACTTCCTCTTAATGATTTTGCTCCTCTCCACCACTAACAAGTCCCCCTTTACCAATCATTGTAGTTTCCACCACCATTATTTGTAACAAAAATCTCTGGACTGTAACCAGTCTGGGTGCAGGAAATTGAAGAGGTGGAAGGAGATGAAAACATTTGTGTCTGTTTCTTGATGTATTTTTTTTTCTTTCTCTCAGTCTTGTGACATTGTCAGATCTGATCAGCACAGAGTCTGATCTCTTTGTGAATGTTGCCACACAAGGGGGCTCCACGACTCATTCTCTTTGGGTCTAGTAAATTTTAAAGTTGTGTTTATTCTAAAATTAAACCTGGGTTTGAAGATACTGCCATGATGTTGAGTCATGAAGATAAATTATTGTTTTCATTTCTAACATACCATCATTTTAATAATGCTGGCAAAGGGAATATACAAACAA